CATATTCGACAGTGAAGGGTCTTCTAAACACTTCTTTTTTTATAATATCGAAGACATAGCAGACCTTAATTTATCTTTTTTTTTAATTTTAATAACATGGAGTCGTATTGTAAAAAATTTAAACTACAATTTAAACCCGACATCAAGAGAAGGTCGTGGAAATATAAACTTTGAAGAATCGAATATTGTTGATGAGATCTTAGGGATTGAGAACGATAATAATTAGTTTTAAAAAAAACTATACAATAAATGCTAAATGTTCTTATTAATTAAATATAAAAAACAATGCACAATATAGTTATTTAATTTTATCGCAAATATATATACCGGTATATACCTAAGTTTTATCGATTTATATTTTGATAGGTTTTACGTTTTAACCTTTTTTCGACAAATATTAATTTCCAGCCAATAAATTTCTGATCATATCTAACTTTTTTATCTTTTTTATGCACTTATTCGCAAATATATTATAAAGTCTAATTTATATTCGGTGCTTTTTTATATTGGATGGAAGAAAGTTTTTTCCATAAATTTCTAAACACACCGAACAATGTTAGACAAGTATTCAAGCGAAAATTTTACTAATGCTGAGTGTGTTGACACTGTAATGATAAAAACTACCGTATTTGCGCGTAATAACGCGTTATTTTGGGACACACATGCACAGATTTTGGTTACCATGCTTTTATTGATGAACTTGGCCTAAAAAATTCGTATATGGTATATTTAGGGGCGCGTTATTTTGGGACACAAAACCAATTTTCAAAAAAATGAAATAACGCACATGTTTGTTATTACGCGCAATACGGCATCCATAGAACAAGTATTACATGAACTTAACCGAATCTGTCGAAAAATCATTCGGCTAATTTTTATCAAGTATTCCATAGCTTGAGTAGTGTTTGTAGTCGACTTGAGCAAGTCGGTTTAATCGATGTAGTCGCCTCCTGACCGACTTGGTCGACTAAACAATTTCGTGATTTTAATTAAACTATTGTTCGCGATAAATACTATTGGTTAATGAATATGTATGAAAGTTATTGTTGAATAAATTTATTGATCTGACCAATAATAACTAGATATCTAAATAAGATTTGGAATGCAAGCTCCTAAATAACTTAGTCGACTAGTCGATGACTTTCCCAATGACTCAGTCGATGGACAGTTAGTCGATCGACTACAATCACTAAGCTTGAGTAATCCTAACCGGTTGTAGCCGGTTGATAATGAATGAATCGGTTCGGTTAGCCGATTGAAATTTTTTCTCAGCTCAAATCACTATATAAAAGGAATCTGATGGTGAATGGAATCACGAAAGCATTATAATAATGAAGAATAATGTGGTTTATTAATATTTGGTAAACTGGTATGTCTTTTAACATAATAGGTCATCCGAATTACTTAGATTTGTTTGCACTTTGATCGTTAATTAGGGCATTTAAATCAGTAAACTTGCTGAATCTTGGACGTTATCAGGATTAACTTGCCAGCAATCTTTTGATAAATTTTTATTGAATTAACAAATATTCCATAAATTTTAAAATTTCACCTAAAAAGATAATTATACCTGTATAAATCTTTACATGTGCGAATGGAGTTGGAATAATTACATATTCAAAATTAACGTTCCAATCTGACCTTGATCATCATTCTCGAAAGGAGGGCGACCGCTAGATGTCTCCACATGAGAACACCAACACTATATATCAGATTTTTTATTAAATCTAAAGTTTTGCTTTTTACATTGTGGATCCATATAGGGAATAATCCATAAAGGTCAGATTTTGAATTTGTCAACTCATCCAACCTCTTTGAAAGTCCAAATCTATTAACTTAATACTTTTTTGATGGACAAGAATATTGTTGGAATGCTATTAAATACCATGGAACAAAACATTTATATTAATAAAAAGTAAAGCATTTTTTAGATGATTCTTAGACAACGCAATCCAAATTTTCTGAAAACGGCCAGCGTTATGCAGAATTATGCACAACAAAAGATGTTGGGTAGCCAATTTACATATTACAAAAGCCTTAATTCTATGTAATTTTTTCAATTTTTGGCCCAGATTAAGCTTAATTCGGACCATTATTCTAAATACGACTACCGCTACATGGTATCCGAAAATTTGGGTTGCACCATGATGCTGTTACCTTCAGTGATGGCAAATGACCTAAACGACCTTGATGACCTGTCATAGGTCATTTAGTCATAATGGCTTTATAACTTTTTAATATAGTAAAAATCTCAATAAAATTTTTTTAAAAGCACTAATATGACATATGACCAAAAGTCATATTATTATATGATCAAGGTCATGTCAAAAAAATAGTAAGACTTACCAACACTGGTTACCCTTAGACGGTGGTAAGCTTTTGGCATGCACTACAGTATATACCGATATTAAATTACGATACGCAATTTCTTGAGCATGCAAACATTTAACTGCGCTGACGACCTGGAGAGCAAAATTGATCTTAACATTTCAGGAAAGATGAATAGAATTATTATGTAAATATGATCTTAAAGGTCCACTATCAGCATATTCAAGAACGAGCATGTAGGGCGTAAGGCTTGAGTTGTCTTATAAAGGTATTAGTTGAGAAAAGTATTAGCTGCTTTTAAATTTTCACACATGTACGTACGTTAAAAGTAATATAACTGATAAATTAAGCACGAAGTTTTACGTTTCTACAAAGAAAAATTTTATTAATTGTATGAAATATTACCATCTCCTTTAGCGATACCATGTGGGTAAATAACGTTCGGACAAACGTCTATTTTTCGATGTAATTTAAGCTATACGGTTATATTTTATAATATGAATGAAAAAAAATAAAATCAAATTTATGATACACAAGTAACCTCATTAATAACTCTTTAATAATCACAATATCACTTTTAAATGATTTTAACGCGACAGTAACTTCATTATTCTCGAGAACAGCACGATAAACGATTCTATTTCTTCCACATCCAATGAGTTTAATTTTCTTAAAGTGAGAATTTTCAATAAAACATTTTTTGAATTAAATCTTCAGAAAAATCCATAATTCAAAGGACGAGTTGTGAAAGGAATTCCAATTTATGATACGACCTCAAAATATACCAAGTGGGTTCTTCATAATAAAATTATACTTAGAGCATATGTATCAAAAAATTTGCGGATAGAATTCATGATATTTCCTAGATTTCCAGAGTTTTCAGGACTCGTTCTGACCAGATCTTTACCAAATTCTTGATAGTATATTAGGGATCTAATATCAATTACCATAAAAAAGTGATATCGCAGTTCCGTACCACTTCACCGACAGTGACATGTTTATTTTATCGACAAGCTCATTTCGTAAACAGTTTTTTTTCACTGACAGCTCATTTCACCGAAAAGTTTTTTCTTACAAACTACACTAACCTTACTCTAGTTTAAACTAACCTTAATGTCTGTGAAATGAGCTGTCTGTGAAAAAACTTTCTACAAAATGTGTTTGTGGATAGCTGACAAATTAAAATTTATTTATAAAATTTACATATAGTTCTGTAGAAATATATTTTTTTTAGAAAGATTTTATATATAAAAGCATTAATATTATAATTGATTTAAATATATATTTTTATCTTAAACATGGTGTTAATTTTTAAATTATTATAAATATTAATTTTAATTAACAATTATATAGTTTAACTAAAAATTTATTAATTTATTAATTTTTTAGAAATTTACTCTTGATACTCATAGGGTAAGTTACCTGATATATGAAAAAATTTTTTATTTAAAGCTAGGGTTAGGGTTAGTATTTGAAAAAATTTTTTTATATGTAAAATTGCGTGCTAAACATTTTGCTTAAGATCTCTAGATTGGTTTTTGTAATAAAATTTTAAGATATTGGCGATTTATATACTGTACTGGGTAATTTACTTACCAAGTACAAATAGAAAACTTTTTTAAAAAAACATCTCAATTTAAATGTTATTTTCTAATCTATAAGTTTTTTTAAACAAATTTGTTTAAATCTAATTTTTTTTTATAATATATATTTAATTTTATATGTAAAAAAATATTCAAATTGATTATAAGCTAAAAATAATAAAAATTTTTAACTAAAAAAATTATTTACAAATTTTAGTAAACTCCTTAAATATTAGTTTTAATCTAGAGATTTTGATATAATAATATTAAAGTTTATATAAAAAATAATTCTTTTTATTACTATATTTTAAGTACAGCAATTTATTTATAAAAATTAAACTTGTATTTATAATAAATTTAAAAAATTTAAAAAAATTAAAAATTTTTAAAACGAAAACTTTAAACTTTTATTACTTCAAAAATACAGTATAATAAGTTTAAAAATTTTGTAATAAAGTTTATAAATTTTAAATTTTTAAATTTAGTATTATTTTTTAGAGAACAAGTATTTCCACACCAATTTTGGAATTTCTACACCCTTGTAAACTATAAATTACTGTTATAAAATTATAACAATATTGCGATGTGTAATCCAAATCTCCGGTTTAAAAATTGAGGATTGTAATGACATTTCATTTTTGTTGTAACTAGAATATTATGCCCGTGATTAAAGGGTGTAAAAATATCAAAATCGGGTGTGGAAATACATGTTCCCTATTTTTAATATTAAAGATTTTAATTAAAAATATATACAAAATTAATATTTTTAAATTACTATGTATAGTATCAAACAGCAAAACACATTTATTTTTTTATTAATAAAGATTTATATTATTATTTTTTCTCCTATATTTTAGAAAAATTTGTTTAAAAAAATTTATCTATAATTCAAAATTTTTACCTTAAAAAAAGCCCCCATCAAAGTTTTAAATTTTTATATTAAGTCGAATTTTAGCATTATGCATTTAATACGGTATTAATTTTATTAAATATTTTAATAAAACTTTATTATTTTTATAATAATAATATTGTTTTAAAATTTAAATAAAAATACACCATATACATATATTTATGTTATAATGTCAAAGGCTAAAAATTATTAACAGTTAAATTATCGTACTTTATCACGTGATCGGTCATATGGTTTAATAACCGATAAAGTTTAATTTCTAAAGCAGCTAAAGCAGCCCCATTGACCCGGCAGGCTATAAGAAACAAAAATTAGCAATGAACTATGAATTTATCTATAATTGTTTTTTTATATATTAGTTTTAGGACTAATGACATAATTTTTTTCCTCCATGCCGGGAGTTAATCAAAGTCCCGACAAGGTCAAAATCCCGACAAGTTAGCCCGCATTAGGTTAGCTTTAGCTATAGTTTCGGTCAATTTTTTTTTCTGGATTTTATTTGTCGGAATTCTGTTTGTCGGGATTTTGACCTAAACCTTCCATACCAAACCTGTTAAATCGATAGCAATGCTAAATTTGTACCAACCATAAATAATATAAAAATGGAGTCTAGGTCGAATCAAGTTAGCATATTGATAAAAATGATTAATAATATTACATTATTTTTCCTATTTTGTACTTGTGATCTGCCATACGAATTATCATACGATTTATCATGTGAGATGGGAATGTGCATGGCAATGATAGAATTAAAAAGTTCAGTATAAACTCAATATTACAATAAACCTTCATTATATATTATGGTATAAAGGGTCTAAACTCGAGAAATATATGATTTTGAGATAACCGAGTTTGTTTTGTTCGGAATTATCCGGGCTAATCATGTTTTGATTGGTTAATATACCGGGTAACCCCGTGATGTGAGTCTTCTAAAATTTTGAATTTTTTTATTATACAAGTCGATTTCCATTTATAATTGAAAAATGTAGCCCGTGCCGAAACTTATCCTTGTAAAAATTCATTTTTTATTTTCGGAGGACCCTTTCTACTGCAAAAGCCCACATATATATATATACGCAATTACTTTTAAGTCTACTATATAATAATACAATAATATTGCTAGATATCACCATTGAACGATAAGTCACATGATACTATACGCATGAAGTGTTAAAGATTTAAACATGATATATAATATTTAATTAATAATAATAATATTATTATTACGTACGTATTAATAATAATCTTATTATTATTATTATTATTACGTATTATTATTCATTCTATTAAAAATAATGGTTAACAAATTGTGATACGTAGTTATACGTAATCCGTACGTACGTACATACGTACGTACATAAAACTCAAGTAAAAAAATTTGTTAAATCGAAGTAGCGGTAGAATTTGTACGTACGGACATGGGCGACGGGGAAGTTTACTAAAATTGAAAAAATCTTACGTATCATGCTGATCCGCTATAATAAAATCTTACTAGCTCAGAAGTTAAGAATTATGGAAGATTAATATAATTCGTTAATGTACGTACATACGTATAAAACTTATCGAAGTTACACAGGATCGGTATCTGGTAAGGTGATCATCTAAATTAAAAATTCAATCATTTATACGTAGGATGTTTAAACACTAGCTATAAACAAACGAAATGAATAGTAATTTTTATAGTACAATGCTCTCCGGATCAGCAACAGTGTTTTGTATGAATAAAGAGGGTAAAAGACAGACGATTAAATTCAAAAAGAGTGAATCGTTACACGCGAAACTTGAGTAGTACATTGAACTTTTACGTATCAAACCTCATATCAATGAACACGAAATAAGTAAGACAATTGAGATATTTTTGTGACTAACAGAGTGCAAACATTTCCTAACCAATTTTTTAGAAATACAAAGAGCTTCCCATTTTTAATGAAAGAATGAATTAAAACGTAACATGAACTATCAAATCACGGATTCTTGCATAAAAAGAAATCGAGAAAAGAATAAGTTTGAAAGTTTAGATTGAGGCTCGGATGAATGATTAATCAAATTGGAAAATTATTTTCATTATTAAACATAAAATTCTCCGTCACTATGTATTTAAAATTCGAATGCTATATTTATCTTACCGAAGATCAACATTTCTAGCCCTCTTTGAACATGTGAAGGTTCCAAATCAAAGAGGGAAATATCGATATGGAATAACTTCATCACATGTATGATGATATGTTAGCATGCTAATTGATAGTATTGGCGTATGATATGGTTTAAAAACATGAAGCACCAAGCTTTGAGTTTTCTTTCACTGAGTGATGCTTGGAGTTTTACGTAAGCACAGGACACCAATGAATTCTATAACTTTGGAATTACAATTTACAACTTTCTCCATGTAAAGGCATATACTTGAATTTTAAATGAGAAATACAAGAAAATTGCCGAATATACGAAAAAATCAATAATTAAGGAAAAATCATACAAATGCAGGCGTTGCATTATGTTTAAAAATTTCAATTATCAAATCTGATTTAATAATAATAACGAAAAAAAAAACAATAATAATAATTTCTTCGGTAAAATATCCCAAGAAATAAATCGAAAAATCAAAGCGAAAATTAATGAAAAATGTGGATAGCCGATTATGTACATTTAGGTGTATCGGTATTCCTGTGACGAGAGTTCAATTTTCATGCACTTGATAATCTCACAAGCATGTGATTATATAATGGATAATGTAACATACTATTACAGATTACCAAGATCTTTGTACATATAAGATTTATTGGTAAATGTTGCAAAGTACAAGAAATTTAAAGAATATTCGGACATTGAATACAGTTGACTAGTATAAAGCAATCATAGAAGAAACAAGTTATTGTAAGATGATAAAAATTTACTAGAAAGGAATTTTGGAGAATGGCGCGCACGTCTTTGTTTTGCAAAAAAATGAGTTGCCAAATTTTAAGTACATGAGATATTGATTAAACGAGTAGTTGAAACGATAAACAATCAATATTAGTTATTACGCAGTTTATATACAATAACCAAATACAAAAAATCAAGAAAGTTATTCGCTAATTTTAGATACATTATTTCATTTGACACTAGCGTTAATGTCTTTTGAAACATTAAAATTCTTTGTTTCGAACTTACCGTAAATGTTTATATGGTTTTATTATCGGATGATATTAAAATAAATAATATTTATTTAAGATCAGCAAAAGAAATTTAAACTAACGACAATAACAATTAATTAATATCACCGAGAATGTTCAATAAAATGTCATACTCTGATAATCCAACTATAGTAGCTCATGAAAAATACGCCGTCTTCTTCAACAAACCTTGATTAAATTTGGTAAATATCTCCGTTTGTTATTATGCGTATTATGCGTATAATTCTAAGCCAAAAGGTTTGAAAGTTCAGATTACCGAGTACTTAGGCACTGTACGTACATACTAACGCAGTTTTAATATAGCATTCAATAGTAACTACTGTTTGAATATAGTACCAAAACTGAGTTAGTACAATGATCCCCGGTTTAAGCATGACCTATTAAGTTAATATATTTGTCAGACGAACAATTCTAGGTCAATTCAACTCCTATACAAATGTGAAGAACAAGAAACCAATAAGATGCATAATCTATAATTGATTTAATATTCAATATTGTTTTATGTAATTCTTTGATTTTACTAATTGCATATATTGTAAAATGCAAGGGGGTTAAAGATAATAGAATTTAGAAAGTATTTCAAGCATTTTCTAAGCAGTCACGAGTTCATCATATTGCTACGTAAGTAAATTTATCATAGTTTATTATGAAAACGTGAATTCAAAAAAGTTTTTTATTAGTAAAAAATAATAGTAAAAGATACAAAAAAAGATACATTATGATTGTGCATAAATTAATTTTTAAAAAGTGGGGCGCGTCTTTGTGAAGTGTCATACGACACAAGTACATGATCCAGTATAACCGAAAAAACTAGTACAATCTATCTTTATAACTTGTGTGGCATTTGTGTGTGAAAAACTAAAATTATGTTATTAATAGTTTGTTTATTAGTGCCAACAATTGTTTGGATTGTTTTTTTTTTTTTTTTTGACAGTTACATAACAAAGAATTTTAACATGTTTTTCAATATACAGAAAAAAAAAAAAAATTAAAAATACGTTAAACTATATAATTACTTATTCGTTATATGTAAATATGTAAATTTGAACTGGGCTATGTCATGTTTCATAATAAACATGTAAGTTCTCCTGAAAGAAAATGAAATGTATTGTTTGAATATTGAAATCATCGTATATGCAAAAGTCGTTATCAATATGTAATATGCTAAAGTCGCGCATTGATTTGAAAAGTTTAAATGCCAAATGCTAATTTTGAACCTGACAAAGTTATTATATATTAACATATATAGATTGGTCTGGAATTAAATCATGGAACGAAATTATAGAAAAAATCGACAGGAAATGCATAAAGATCGATTTGTATGTAAAACGAGCACGGGCGTCATTAAATTAAACCTAACGAGTTCAACAATTTGAAAGCACAACATTTTAATCAAATTTGTATAAATTATGTTTCATCTATTAATAAAAGAAGAGAGTTCTGTTTGTTCCGTGAAATGTTTGTTTCTCCGAGAAACAATAGGATAACCCAATTAAATGAAATACTTACTGAACATTGCATTAATTAAATTGGCGCACTGATAAAGGGGGCTGTGCTGTTTTTGTGTGAATGTTTCAAATTTGGTGCGTGCATTTTTAGAAAATTTGACAATGTGAAGTCTTCGTGTGAATAGGTATTAAAAGTCATTTATATAAAATTGGATGGTACCATCTGTAGACTCGTAGGTATCTAATTTATGTAAAGTCATCGGTTCTTTGCACGGCAGATCAGTATCACATGCATGTGTTAAATAAGTGTCTGTGCATTTGTTTACCTTAGGTCTCAAATATTTTTCAAAATAATGAAGACGGTAAAGGATTTTTTTTGTAAACAATAATCACCTATTATAATAAAATGCCGTTGTGATTAGACGATACTAATTGATACATATTACGCTTTGACCATTTATGAAATATAACTCAGTTGTTATATTCATCCCTCTACTAAGGTTTAATTTACGAATATATTGTACATTCTAATGTATTTTTTTTTTTTTTATATTATATATTGATATGTATAGTGCGTGAAAGCCGAGATTATATAATCGATGATCCACATTAGCATGTGGCATTTTATTAGATTAGGTGGCTCTCTTGATCAAAATTAATTATTAATTCCATAAAACCTTTTTTGAATTTTAATAAACATTCATTTAAGAATTAGTTACATGCCATTTGCTCTACATAAATTTTTTTTTATCGTAACTACATTGTTGATCTTGGA